ATGAAAAACATCTTATTCCATCTTTGTGGGCAACAGCGTATTATATAACAAACAAAGCATTTCAGAAACAATTCTGCCTTGATCTCAGAGCTGCAACTGATACCAGTGATCACGGTCTTCTGTTACAGAGACTCAAACGACTTAGAAACGACTTAAAGGGACTGCATTAGGCTGGTTTAGTCAGATTTATTTGACAGATATCATCAGGAATGAGAGAGCACGGCCTACATTTCCACAGCTAAGCTGGTGATACTCATTTATCCTACTTTATGAAACCAGTTACATCGTTACTATAGACGGCATTTAGGGCGGTTCGCTGGTGTGGTGCTCAGCACCATCGCCTCAGAGCAGAGGGTTCTGGGTTACAGTCCCCGGGGGAACCGGGACCAGAGGGTTCTGGGTTACAGTCCCCGGGGGAACCGGGACCTTTCTGCCAGAGGGTTCTGGGTTGGAGTCCCGGGGCAACCAGGACCAGAGGGTTCTGGGTTTGAGTCCCTAGGGGAACCAGGACCAGAAGGTTCTGGGTTGGAGTCCCGAGGGAACCGGGACCAGGGGGTTCTGGGTTGGAGTCCCAGGGGAACCAGGACCAGAGGGTTCTGGGTTGGAGTCCCGAGGGAACCGGGACCAGGGGGTTCTGGGTTGGAGTCCCGGGGGAACCAGGACCAGAGGGTTCTGGGTTACAGTCCCCGGGGGAACCGGGACCTTTCTGCCAGAGGGTTCTGGGTTGAAGTCCCGGGGGAACCAGGACCAGAGGGTTCTGGGTTCCAGTCCCCGGGGGAACCGGGACCAGAGGGTTCTGGGTTGGAGTCCCGGGGGAACCCGGGACCAGAAGGTTCTGGGTTGGAGTCCCGGGGGAACCAGGACCAGAGGGTTCTGGGTTGGAGTCCCGGGGGAACCGGGACCAGAGGGTTCTGGGTTGGAGTCCCGGGGGAACCGGGACCAGGGGGTTCTGGGTTGGAGTCCCGGGGGAACCAGGACCATAGGGTTCTGGGTTGGAGTCCCGAGGGAACCGGGACCAGGGAGTTCTGGGTTGGAGTCCCGAGGGAACCAGGACCAGAGGGTTCTGGG